TCTCTCTCTCTCTCTCTCTCTCTCTCTCTCTCTCTCTCTCTCTCTCTCTCTTTCTCTCTCTCTCTCTCTCTGTCTTTCTCCCTCTTGCCGAACTCAAGTAGATTCAGGCGATATCTCTGTATCTTGCAGAACTCCGACCAGGGCGAGCGTCCTTTCCGGTAGGTGTTATCTCGTACGCCTGGTGTGTGAGAGAGAGAAAGGGTAGAGCTTCATAGTTGGGCAGGGAACAAAGTATCGGAACGTGTGCACGCGTATACATACACTGATATGTATATATACAGACAAACAAACAGACAGACAGACAGACAGACATACACACACACACACACACAAACACACATGCACGCACACACACACACACACACACGTACACACACACACACACACACACACGCACACATACACAAACAGACAGACAGACTTACAGACACACACACAAACACACACACACGCACACATACACACATACACACAAGTACACACACACAAATACACGCGCTCGCGCACGCACACACACAAACCCAAATTAAAAAAAAACAAAACTCTCAAAGGACAGATTTACCATAGTGATGAAAATGCCATATTTGCAGTGGAGGAATTAGTTGTTGTTGTTGTTGTTGATGATGTTGTTGTTGTTGCTTTTTGTTGTTGTTGTTGTTTAAACATTTGTAAGTATTTTACGGCGCTCGCAACTATGTGATGTGTAAAAGGTACTGTCCTGCGATGGTTTGAGTCATATTTTAAAGATCGAACACAAGCAGTTGTGGTTGGAAGCACGTGTTCTGATAATGTATTGCTTAGATGTGGTGTCCCTCAGGGGTCTGTTCTTGGACCTGTCTTGTTTACAATGTATACACAATCTATTGCTGATATTTTAAGACAATATGACATGAATTACCATCTTTATGCCGATGACACTCAGATTTATAAATTTACTGATTTTGGTAAAATATCACTTTTAGTCGACTTCACTTAGCAATGTATTCGGGAATTAATCTATGGATGAATAAATTGGAACTGAGTGATAACAAGACGGAAATTATGTTTTGTGGAAATACAAAGGCCATTAGAAATCTCCCACAACTACAAATTGACATTTATTCAAAAAGAAGTCTTGAAATATCTAGGGGTTCAGTTGGATTATGATATGTCTATGTACTTCCAAATTAGCCAGCTCACCAAAAGTATCTATTTTCAGCTTAAGAAAATTGACAATGTAAGAAATTATTTAACAAAAGCAGTAGCCAAGACATTAGTAACAACATTGATTTTTATCAAAATTAGATTACTGTAATGTTTTTTTTATCCGGTTGACTGCCGAAAAACTATCAAAGTAACAAGTACATCAAAATCAAGCAGAAAAATTGATAATGAAACAAAAGAAATCAGTGCACGTAACACCAATTCTGAAAGAACTACACTGGCTGCCAGTAAAAGAAAGGATCAAATACAAAACTGCCGTGTTCTGTTTTAAATGTATAAAATATTAACGCAATCTTCAGATTGCTGCACAATTATACCATCGTTAAAATGCGCAGCGCAATCTTGATTGCGCAGATCGGTAAATTGCACTACTAAACATCTATCGTCCTTATCTATCCTTCCTCCTTTTTTGTGTTTGTTACTCTCTAGTAGCGCCTCTAATCTTCGGCACTTAAAATATGACCTGATTGTGTTCCTAGTGTCATAAAACTCTCACTAAAGCCAAAAGGAAGTGGCCTTGCGAGTGACACAATTTATGTTACATTTCCAACCTTCTTCTTATATAATTTAGGTAACACGAGCGAAAAATTCAAAATCAAAAAATCAAAATTGGAATCTACTCGGTAGACTTGGACAAAACTGAAAGAATTATCAAAATCCGCCCACAAACCATTGAGTTCTGGTTGTTTAAAAACGTAACAGTTTGTGTTAAAACGTCAAAAATGGTGCATAACGGGCTTGAGGCCCATTTATGACGTCACGTAAATACAAGAAATGTCAATGTATTTTTATAAATATTCTGAAATCCTTCTCAATTTTCCCCCCAAAGGTCTGAGATGATAAATAAGGATTTTATAAGGTGCTAAAGTGTGTCTCAGAGCTCAAAACCACTGTTAGGAAAAAAAACAACCTAAGAAAAG